CTTTCTTTCTTTCTTTCTTTCTTTCTTTCTTTCTTTCTTTCTTTCTTTCTTTCTTTCTTTCTTTCTTTCTTTCTTTCTTTCTGTTTTTTGGTGGGGGGGAAGTTTGCATGCACTCACCAGCTGAGTATATTTAATATTTTCTCCAAAAGCCACACACAGATATCCGCCTTTTAGTCCAACATTATGCACAGTTTTTTTATTTATGTTTATTTTTACCTCTTTTTCTTTTGTATATTTCTGATTAAACCTGTTTTCCACATCTTATAGCTGAGAATAACACTCAGGTGGGGAGGAGGACAGCTGTAATCTCTGTCTCCTCAGTCCATCTCAGACCCCTAGTGGCAACTCTTAACCAGTTAAGACTCCTCTGGAGCAGTCTTAACTTTTCTTGAGTGATTCTTATACTTAAGAATTTTCATAACTGGCACTTACACTTAAGTCTGAGAGTAGGAGCAAATCTAAGAAATTTTCAGCACTTAAGTCTAAAAATCCACCATAAGAAGTTTGATAAATACGGTCCCTGGTCTTTATGGTTTCATGAGTATCAGTGCGTCTCTGCTTGCAGACCAGTCGTTTGAATGTGATCAGAATAAAACTCCTCTGGAATCAGCGTTACTTTTGCTGGAAAGTATGACTAAGGAATTCAGTCTTCCACAACATGATTGTGAGAATGTCGGCACTTCACTTAAAGAGATGGTAAGTGTTTTAAGTTTTAATGGATTTTGTTCATGTACTCAGGAATGAGCCATTGCATCGGTTGGCAATTAAAAAAACAAGTTTTTATCAGTATTAAATCAGAGTCTGTGGACTAAAGTCTGAAGGTAGTATCCATCTGTGGCTGATGTTGAGGGCTAACACACACATCAATCTTAAAATCTGTATGCTTGTAGGTAAGAGATTAATTAGAGACACAAACTTGACCTTTAAAAACGTATGTTTCGTGTTGAATTTGTTTTGAAGTTTACAGTATAGAGATTCATAGAATTTGATTATGTGAGGAGGGACAAGATTGTTTGAGGTGTTAACATGCACGACTGTTGTAAGATATCCATTGCAGCATTGATGCTTTTAAGTAAAAAGCCAACAACTGTTTCTGTCTTTAGATTGTGGGAACCTTCATCAAGAACGGCCAGTTTGAAAAAGCAAAGGAAGCATTTAACCAGTATTTTCACGAATCAACGACCAGCAAGGTAAGTCCTTCTAATCATTGTTTAACATGCTTTCAGTAAACAACCACAGTTGAATTCATACTGTATTTTCCAGACGATTTGTTGCTCTGGAGTAAAAGTTGCTTCAGTCAAAAAATGTGGCATGAAGAAGAAGAAGAAGACACATAGAGTATAACATTGCTCCTGCCAGGGGTGCCGAATAGCCTTAATTACCATAAACAGATGAAAGTAATGACTCTTAACTTTTTTTTTTACACAAGTTCACCTAAACAACATCCGCAGCAAGATACCAAAAAGTAAGTTACAGTACCAACAGGAAGCGATTAGCTTTCTTAGTTTTTTCGTTGCAGTAAGAGTAGCCTCTGCTTTTCGCCAGTTTCTCACAAGTTTCTCATTCACTCCAAACTTTCTGTCTGCTGCTCATTATTGTAACCTGTAGGCTGCAGGAACAACATAAACTGCAGTTATCACAATCCTAGAGCGCCCACCTGATTTGCATAAATAGGTGATTAGCAGGCATCTTTTCTAATTTGAAGAAATAATCCAGTCACTTATTCAGGTGTGTTGGAGCAAGGAAACCATGCAGGATAACGGTCCTTCAGGACCAGTGCTTTATACCTGTGTAACTGGTGTCTACAGCAGGTTAGACACTGAGCTTTTGGAATGTGTTCTCACACACATCCATTTTAAAGAAGAAAACGTCCTTTGAATGAAAAGCTTCAGCTTTTGGTTTAATGTGGTTTTAATTCAAATACTAGTTCTTCAGAAACAGTTAATAAATGTAAGCAGTTTTGCTTTTATGCTGTGCATCTCAGTTCAGTGGATTTCTGTTTTCTGTAGAGGACTGTCTTCCTGAAACTCATTCATCAAAAGAAGAAAACACACGAGGTCATCAAGCAACTTAACTTTCAGAGCTTCAAGAAGGAGATGGCGGATTTTTGTCAAAGGCTTTTCTCATTCAGTCCTCCATTTCTTTTCAAGGTATGCATGTTGTAAACTAGCTGAGAAAGTGTCTTTCTTTTAGCCATTGTGATATTGAGGATTAATGATTCACACAGAAAACATCAAATAAAGCTCACTGCCAATGGGGATCTCCACTCAGGCTATTTTTAGAACACAAGTCACATGACTACACCTGCTCAACACCCATTCACGTACAAATTCTGGGCTCTATTGGTTTCAATCACTGTGTGGTTTAGCTGTGTTTAAGGAATTTGAAAAAACTTTATCACATTCCACCAGGAAGATCACAAAACATTGGGCCTCATGCAAGAACATGTTCGTATTCTTATCCTAAATTTCTCTTACTTTTGTTCGTACAAAGGGTTCGTACGAACATGTCACGTCAGATTCAACAAACTCTTCTACAGGAAAAGTGTGTAAATGAGCTGTGTAAACTGATGAATGCGTATGAGGCGCTCGCACACGAGG